AAACAAAAACTTACAAATAAATAAATAAAAATAAAAAAACAAAATCTATAACCATTAAAATTATGCAAAAATATCAACTGTAATAAAAGACACAGAAACAAATGTGTTTTAAAATGAGACTTAAAAACACCAAGTGTGGAAGCCTCTGATAAGAAGGGGCAGCTGCTCCACAGTTTACAGCTGAAAGGATTCAATCACCTCTGTGGACCAGTCTGGACCTTGGGATAACTAAAAGCAGGTGATCTTTATAGCTATCTAAGGGGTCTGGAGGGCATAAGACTGCAGAAAGTCAGACAGATATACAGGAGCCTGTACATGCAGGGCCTATTAAGTCATCACTAAAACATTTACGGTAAATCAATTCTAAAACAATCAAGGTGCCATTGAATTGCAGAATGCATAGACAAGATATATGTTCACATTTTTCAGTTTGCATTGAAAGATGGGTTTCAGAATTCTGAACAAACTGCAGCTGAGAGAGGCCACCAMCAACAACATACAGAAAATTACAACAACCCAGTTGGAAGGTAGTGAAACCGTGAATCTCCTGTTTTAAAYCATTAAAGAACAAAAACAATTAGATAAAAAAAAACCAAAATAAAATAGACATCAAACATCACAGACACATTTTTGCAGGGACTTTTACAAATGGCTCCAAGTTGCCCAGATTTATAGGAAAAGTGCTGCAGTTTATGCTGTGTCTAAAAATAATAATWGAAGTTTTGGAAGTTTGAAGTCATCCAAGCTTTTACCTCAGTGAGGCAGTTAAACAATTCTTTTAATAAAAAAAATAACGACTGCAGTTCAACTTTAAGGATCTGAGTGTTGTTTGCAGTGGAATTAGATCTTMAATTTTCTAAAGATGAAACATAATGTATGTAAATGCTAGGGGTCCAAGAATACATTTTTGGGGAACTACATGAAAGAGGGGCTAAGGAGGAAACAGATTTGGAAGCTTTTTTATGCTTAATGTGCAGTCTCAWACAATATTAAAATATATGTGATGTCTTGTACAATATATTAGTGTTTGGAGTATGTGCTGTGGTTGACCAGGTCTAGATTTTTGAGTAAGGTTGATTAGCTCAAAGTTAATTACAACTGGCCCTCATTGGGCCACCATTATGCCCATGTGGCCCTCTGTGAAAATGACTTCTGTCTTGTGCCAACAGTTAATGCTCAGAGTGAGTTAGGGATCAGTCTCAGCAACTAACACAAGTTTTAGCTCAATGTCAGTAAAACTGAGTTATAGACATTTTTGTGTGAGCTAAGATTGCTTTGCCATCTTGAAATGGGTGGAATCTAAAATGAATCAGTTGTCAATGTCAATTGAAAATCTGCAATTCGTGAGATATTTGGCTAACATTAAAGACAAACAAACAGACATATGGTCAAATACATATTATCATAAATATTAGCTGTTTGGAGGGGAAGAAAGAAACAAAGCCACATGTTATGCTGCTGTGTTGCTCATAATAAATCACGTAGCGTGGCCTTTGTCTCTCGTGGCGGTGCAGCTTGTATCCAGGAGGGCGTGTGCGCGCGTTGGGGAGGCTGGAGGGGAGGGCGGGTACGTGCTGACGTCACCGCTCGCTCCTGACAGTCGGAGCCAAAATAAAACGAGTTAAAAAACTTTTGTTGTCAGGAGTCACCGCTGAAAACAGATGGCTTCGAAGGTAGCAKGCGGTGAGACCGTCCGTAGTCCTGCGGGTTGGAGTGGTGGTTTGAACACAGCGCTGTCAGTGTAGCTGAAGGGGGGCTGTGTTTTCTTTCTCTCTTTTCTTTTTTTAAGTTATTCCTGGGGTCGCGCGGGGGAAGCCAGCTTTAGTTTAGCCGACTTGCTAGCTAACGTCAAGTTAAAGGAAAGTGGAGGAGACGCCGGCTAAAAACTGGGGGCTTTATCCGCTAACCTACATGCGACGGAGAGCAGGTAAAACACAAAGCCTTCCTCCACAGCAGACACACACACACACACACAGTACGGGACCAACACACACCCTCAGACCGCTCATTTTATGCTTGTTTTTGTTGTCGTCGTCGCAGTGTTGACGGCTTTAGCCAACAAGTTTCGCTGCTGAGAGGTGGCAGCTGGTCCTGCTCGTTCCCCACCTTGATGCTGGTGCAAAACATATTCACCAAATCTCGCCATTTTCTTCACCGTCTTGTCTGCAGCGCTTTCTTGTTGCACCCACGTAGCAAAAAAATAAATAATTAAATATAAAAACAATGAAAAAGAAACACGCTGCATTCATTAGAGGGAGAAAATGTCCAATCGATTACGCAAATTCCAGACACTCGTGCTGCACACTGATGGTCCAAAATTCAAAGAGAGAGGAGGGTGTGCGTTTATTTTATTTATATTTATTTTTCCCCTCTCTCAATATTATTATGTGTTTTATTATTATTATTATTATTATTATTTTAAAATGTAAGCATCTCTTCCAAATGAACC